ACCAGCAGATGGCATAATGGTTATGTCACTGGACTCCCAGTGGACATAACCAGTGTACTTAGCCAACCACGTTCAAGTCCTGGACCCGGCAGCTTAAAACTCATGCCAGGTGCATGTGCACGTATGCCCAAAATCCCGAGAGGAGAATGGAGGAACTGCTGTGTAGCCATTCCCCTGGGTGGGGTGATTTCTTGCTTTCTGTCTCTCTGCCTCTCTGGCAAGTGCATGCACCCAGTAGCAAAAATCTCTCAAAAAAACCCCCTCTTTCACACACACACACACACTAGTAGAGTGTTACTACTAATATCCTATTTTGCGCTTTTTGGATTTTTTTGCTGTTGTTCTAACATAATCAAAAAAAGTAACAATTTCTGTGACATTCACGAAGTAAAATAAATATCAGTTTGTCTACATTTGAAGTTGGACAACATCAGTGCAAAGTCACTGAGCTTCAGAGTACTCAGTGGTTCTTGGTAAAGCCATGATCATCCACAGGAAAAAATGAAATCTTAAAATGTTTAATGAGATCAAACACTTATCATTTTACTATACAAAGAGCCTAACCCACCAAATGAAATTTAAAAACAGACATTTTTTGATTAAGCTGATTAACATTTTTTGCTTATTACTTGAAATGTACTTTTCCCCTCTAATCCATAAAACACAAAACAAACTTCTTTTAAGGTTTGTAGTTTTTCTTCAGAATTCATCCAAAGAAGTTTAAATGAAAAATGATAAGTGAAAGTGATTTCCCTTTATATATATATATAATTTAAAGAATGAAACTTTAAGCAAAATTGAATGAAAATAAAAACCAAAGCCATTATTTAATGACAATATGGTAGGCAAGAGGCACACATTCCCAGGTGAGTTTTAATTTTGTCTTCTCTAAGTCATTCAGAAATTAAAGGCAAGTGAGATTCTTTTAAGTACACAATTTACAAATGTGGAAACAGTAATCACTGTCATGATTATTTTATATTCTCTCTTAAAAGCGGCTCTAAAAGTAGTGTGCGGGTTCACAGAACGACGACTTTTAAGTTGCCGGCACTGAAACACTAGGTTCAAATATGGACAAATGTGCTATATTTGATTGAAATCGTCTGGGTACCTTGGCTTTTGATGTTTTATTCTGGTTTTCAGGCAGAAAGCGCATGATTTCATTATATACAACAGGTTGATTCAAAGTACAGCACTCATAGCGGTGAAGGCAGTTCTATGTGCGTACACAATGGCTTTATATAACAAATACATGTGCCATTAAAATAGTCATATGGAACAACACAATTTAAAACATTCCACCTCATGCTTTAGATTGCCAAACCCCAACCTCTTAGTCCTTTCTGGTGATGACATAATCTATTTGCTTAAAGGTAAAACCTCCTGATACTATCCACTGTACTACAGATAATAGACCATATCCATCTAGGAGATAAAATGTAATGGATACAAAGGGAAGATGGGATAGATTCAACTCTATGAAATTTGGCTTTTATTCGATGACAAATATCTGCTTCTACCCAGGGTCATTCCGACTTCAGTGTGAACGCTATACTATAAGCCAGAATTTACTTCCTGTGTTATTTTATTAGATTTTCAAATTTAAAGTGGTTTTGACCCAAAATATATACCTATACCTTAAAAGAAAAAACAAAAAACAAAGAAAAGTCAATATAATCAGCATGAGCTTTTTTACCACTTCACTTTACAATCCATGTTTTTCCCAGCATTTTACTTTCATCTCTCTTACTTTCATAGCAAATTTTCCAGACTATGTCTTCTGGACTAATCAGTGGTGGAACCTGAACCTCAGACACTATTTTGAAGAAGTGTAGAGTAAATGATTTTGGTAATCTGTAAGACAGCTGCATGCAGTGTGTACTGTATTATAACAGCACCAAAGCCTTTATAAAAACCAAGCACCCCCTCCTCCTGCTTTATAGTATTGATACAGTCTCTCATCCCCTCATACTGTGTGTTAATTGGAAGCACTTCATAGCCAAGGTCTGTATTGTCAATGATTGTGCGTGTCCCTTGAATGTGCAGGCGGTGCAAAACTGTTTCCAGTGGGTAAAGTATGATGTCAGAGCAAAGACTGGCAGCAAAGTTAGCGATAAGTTCTGGGAAATAAGCATCCAACATACTCTGCACGGGGCTAGTGCTCTCAGCTAGGTGGCTATTGTAAGTCTTTCTCTTTAGAATGAGTAGGACAAACTTCTGAATGATTGAGCTGATGATGTAATGAAGAACTCCATGCAGCACCGTGGGGAAGATCAAGGAAAGAAGTGGAAGAAGTCGTTTGCTATGAGGCACTCCCAAGCCTATCACTCTTC